GGGCTCCGGGTGCAGGGTTTAGGGTCTAGGGTTGGGGGTTTCAGGGTGTAGGGTCTAGGGTTGGGGGTTTCAGGGTTCAGGGTTAAGGGTTGAGTGTTTAGGGCTTAGGGTTTAGGATTGGGAATTCAGGGTTCAGGGTTTAGGGTGTATGGTTTGAATTTAGGGTTTGATGGTTCAGGGTGTGGGGTTTAGGGTTCAGGGTTTAGGGTTCAGGGTTAGGATGCTTCTTGGGGTTGAGGGTTTAGGGTTTGGGGTTTAATTACTTGTGAGCTTGAGTCTAGCGGCTTAGAGGCTGGCAGGGGGATTCAAGTTCAGAGGTGCAAGACTCGGATATGAGTGTACACAGGGGTTTAAGGGGTTTGGCTGCCGTTGAGGTCTGGGACTCAGGTCTACGGTTTGGAAATACCGATGCCAGTAAGAATTTAGGCAGTTAGGCACGGTGTGGGTGCTGATGGCTTTACGTACTTGCAAACACTTGCTAGCATGCCACGTGTCGGGTTTGAGCAGATTCCGCTGTCAAGACCATTGCTGGGGCTATTTCTGCAGCTGATATGGGCTTAGACACATAGGCAAGAGTGCCTACATTTGGCCCCATTCGGAAGTGTGGAGTTTCGGAGATATGGTCGTCTAGTTTTCGGGAGGTAAGATGACACCTGGCAGCGAGAGAGTGGTCCTTAAACCGAATGCCTAACCCCTGTACACCCTATACATCTAGCCTGAACCTCAAACCCGAAACCCTTAACCCCTAGCCACGCCTAAACCCTAAACCCTCCTGAAAGCGTTAAACCCCAACCTTTACGCCATAAGCCAGCTAAACACTCCCAGCCCTAAGCCCAAGTCGGCTCGGTGGGTTGGAACTCCAGGCCATGACCTTCAGCAGCGACGTTGTCCGATTAGCCTACAAGGTTCCGTGTTCGGGCTTCTAAATACAAAGGATGAGTTTTAGGATCTTTAAGGCTTATTGTAGAGGCTGAGAGCTTAGATGGAGTGCTTATGGCTATATGGCTAGATAAACTCTTCGCGAGTTACGGCATTGGGTTTTAAAGCAAATCCTTACACCGTGGTGCCTGTCCGGGGGCCAAGGTCAACAGCTGCATCGAAGCTTTAAAGCCCGGATTGTTGTCATGGTTGAGCCAGTGAAGCAGCCGTCGGTGATGCAAAGTGTTCTTGTGCGTCGGCTGAGCCGTCGGTGATGCAAAGCGTCGTTGTGAGTCGGTTGAGAGATCATGGTCCTCTCCCTTATTAGTCTCATGCACATGAAGTCGTGCGAACAGCTTGTTCCATTTCTTTGGCGTCAAAGGGCACATTGCCAGAGACCCTGTCCGATATGTTTGTGCATGAGCAGTGCTATGAAAATCCACGAGCAGCAAGCCTGTATACCGAACGGTGAACCTACTGGATGGATGTATTCGCAGGTAATACCCTGCATACACACCGTTCATGGTAGGCCCCAGCCGCTCTTGAGTTGTAAGCCTCTTCATCCCTGAACCCTGAACGGCCACAGTCCCGAAGCCACTCAAGCTTCAAAGCATAAAAGCCAGGCCCTATCCCCTAAAAACCTAAACCCCAACCCCTACACCTCTAAAACCCCTGAACCCTTAACCCTAAGCCCCCAAACCCGAAGCCTCCAACACGGCAGATCTTCGAAGCCCTAAGCGCCCGTCAGATCTGCCTGCGGCTCGTCACGGATCCGGCGGATGTCATGGACAGCTCCTGGGATCAACAGTCAGCGTTCGAATGGCGCTCGAAGTTTGGGGGTTGGGTGTTGGGGTTTAAGTTTAAGGTGTGGCGCGCAAGATGTGTGTCAGATCGTGGTTCTCGGGTTTCTACGATTTGCAGTTGCATGCAGCTGTTTCGGGCTTTACGGGTAGGATGTATGACTCTTTCAGCTTTTGTTAAGAGCAGCTTCAGGATTTGCTGCCCCATCACACTTGCCGCAGCTGGAGTTGTTGCATTGAGCTTATGGCGAGCCCCAAACCTTTCAGACCAGGACACCATACCCCACAGCCACGAATGTATGAGATCCGCAGAAACATATCCTGAGATATTCATGCTTTAGTGGCCCAGGTCCAGAGCTCGCAGAAGGATTGAATGCCGTCTCTGACAAGGCCCGGGTTTTCGGGAACCTTTTGCATTTCTGCGCCTTTGGGTTCTGGAATTCTATACCTGCTGTGAGCCTCGTAACTGTCAGTGTTTTTTAACTGGCTACAATAAGAAGGCTTAGCAAGTTCAGGGCATCTCGGATTTAAATGATTTCGATGTCTTGGTGTGTCAGCGCGGTTCCAGCCTTCGTGGGCATGGGCAACTTTGCCGGGGCTCTTAAGGTTTGACATTTCGGCGACCATTCCATACATACAGACTATGTAGTTAGTTACCTATCTGCTTATCTACCTACGTACGTACGTTGATACATACATACATACATACATACACCTGCAGCTGCATACTTACAGACATACATGCATGTCAAAAGCACGACTTTGTCATCCCGGAGCCGCAGGTTTGGCTTCAAGAAGCAGCAGCCGTTGAGTAGCCGTGCATCTGGGGACGGTAAAGCCTAAACCGACCCCTTGTCGCAGCGATGGCGCGGTGCACGCTCTTTCGCTTCATTGTTCTGGCATTCGCCTTCGTCTGCCACTCGAATGAGTCTGAAGCATGCAGTTGGAGTTGGCCAGAGTTCAAGTCATCATGAAGGAGGGTTACATGTGTGATGGCTGTCTTACTCCATTCACTGCCACTCTTTCTCGCCGCCATCATCGCTCAAGCCTCAAGCAACTCCACCACCACCCGTCATGAATGCTGCCGGCATTGTCATCCATATCTTTGTTAGTGTCACCACCACCACCACCACCACCACTAACAACAACAACAGCGGCAGCAGCAGCAGCAGCAGCAGCAATAACAACCGCAACGGCAACAATAACTGCAACAGCAACAGCAGCAGCAACAGCAACAGCAGCAGCAGCAGCAGCAGCAGCAGCAGCAGCAGCAGCAGCAGCAGCAGCAGCAACAGCAGAAGCAGCAACGACAACCACAACAACAGCATCATGACCAACAAGAACAGGAAGCAATTATATCCAACATCCAACAACCACCACCAGAGCGGCAACCACCACAGCAACAACAACCACAACACCAACAGCAGCAACAACAAGAGCAACAGCAACAGCAACGATAACTTCAATCACGACAATAGCACCAGCACCAACAGCGACGACGACAGCAACAATGTCACCAGTGACAACAGCAACACCGATCACGACAACACCACCACCACCAACAACAACAACCACCACCATCAACAACAACAACAACAACAACAACAACCACAAGTATCCAATAAACACAGGAGCCAACAGCAGCAACAACGACAACGAACACGACAATTACAATGACAGCTACTTTCGCCGACAACAACAACAGCAGCAGCAACAACAACAGCAACGACAACTTCAATCGCAACAACATCATCACCAACCACAACGACAGCAGCAACAGCAACACCAACAAACACCAGCGGAACAGCAGCAACAACAAACACCAGGAGAACGGCAACGACAAGGACACTGACAACGACAAACGACAACGACAGCAGCAACAACAACAACAATAACAACAGCAACACCACCACCACCACCACCACCACCACCACCACCACCACCACCACCACCACCACCACCACCACCACAAACAACAACAACAACAACAACAACAACAACAACAACAACAACAACAGCAACAACAAGGAACAAACAAAGACAGGGACCCCGTCAACCTATATATCTGCATTTTGTCTGTACATTGG